TTTTGTTTCGATTTTGTTGATTTCTGCTCTGATTTTAATTATTTCTTGCCTTCTACTACCTTTGCTGTTGTTTTGCTCTTCCTTTTCTAGGGTTTTGAGATGAAGTGTGAGTTCATTTATTTGTTGGTTTTTTCTTTTTTTGAGGAATGAACTCCAGGCAATGAATTTCCCTCTTAAAACTGCTTTCATTGTGTCCCATAGATTCCGATATGTTGTGTCTGTATTTTCATTTATCTCTAAGAATTTTTTGATTTCCTCCTTTATGTCTTCTCTAACCCATTGATCATTTAGTAACATATTGTTCATTTTCCAGGTGATGCAGGATTTTTCCTTCCTTCTTTTATCATTGATTTCCAGTTTCATTCCATTATGATCAGATAAGATGCATGGTATTATCTCCACACCTTTATATTTACTAAGAGTTGCCCTATGGCATAATATATGGTCTATCTTTGAGAAGGATCCATGTGCTGCTGAGAAGAACATGTATCCACTTGATGATGGTTGATATATTCTATATATGTCGGTTAAGTCTAGGTTATTGATTGTGTTGTTGAGTTCTATAGTTTCTTTATTCAGCTTTTGTCTGGAGGATCTGTTCCAATGGAGAGAGCGGTGTGTTGAAGTCACTGATAATTATTGTGTTGTGGTCTATTTGACTCTTGAACTTGAGAGGAGAGTTTGTTTTATGAATGTTGCAGCACCATTGTTTGGTGCATACATGTTGATAATTGTTATGTCTTGTTGGTAGATGGTTCCTTTTAACAGTATATAGTATCCTTCTTTATCCCTTTTGATTAACTTAGGTTTGAAGTTGATTTTATTCGATATGGCCACTCCTGCTTGCTTCCGAGGACCATGTGAGTGGTATGATTTTTCCCAACCTTTCACCTTCAGCCTGTGTATGTCTTTTCCTATCATATGAGTCTCCTGAAGGCAGCATATTGTTGGATTTGTTTTTTTAATCCAAGTTACTAGCCTATGTCTCTTGATTGGTGAATTTAAGCCATTAACGTTTAAGGTTACTATTGATATATGGTTCGTACTTCCAGTTGTGCTTATTTATTTATTTATTTATTTATTTTTATATGGCTAGTTTTTCCTTTTTGGTTATTTTTTTTTTTTTCTTCCCTTTACTGAGTTACCTCCCACTGTTAGTTTTAGGTGCTGTTTTTCAATTCCTCTTCTTGTAGTGTTTTGCTCAAAATGCCTTGCAGTGCTGGTTTTCCGGATGCGAATTCTTGTAAATTGTGTTTATCGTGAAATATTTTAATTTCATTGTCAAATCTGAAGCTTAATTTTGCTGGATACAGTATTCTTGGTTGGAATCCATTATTTTTCAGCGTTTGAAATACGTTGTTCCAGGATCTTCTCGCTTTCAACGTCTGTGATGAAAAATCAGCCATTAACCTAATTGGTTTACCCCTGAATGTAATCTGCCTCCTTCTCTCGTAGCTTTTAATATTCTCTCCTTGTTCTGTATGTTGGATATCTTCATAATTATGTGTCTTGGAGTTGGTCTATTACGGTTTTGTATGTTTGGGGTCCTGTAGTCTTCCAGGATTTGGCAATCCATTCCATCTTTCATATCTGGTAAGTTTTCTAAGATTATTTTATTCAATAGATTGTTCATTCCTTTGGTTTGAACCTGTACACCTTCTTCTATCCCAATGACTCTCAAGTTTGGTTTTTTTATGACATCCCATATCTCTTGGATGGATTGCTCGTGATTTCTTAGGATCCTTTCTGTGTTGACTATATTCTTTTCAAGTTGATAAACTTTGTCTTCATTATCTGATGTTCTGACTTCTTTTTGATCTAGTCTATTTGTAATATTCTCGTTTGAGTTTTTGTTTGGTTTATGGTTTCCTGCATTTCTAGGATTACTGTTTGATTTTTTTTTTAAATCTCTATCTCCTGGTAGAGCTCATTCTTTGCCATTTGAATTTGCTTACATAATTCGTTTTCAAAGTATACTTTCATTGTTTGGACTTGCTGTCTAAAGTCTTGTCTAAGATTCCGTTCTATCTGAGTTAGGTATGCCTTGAGTTCTTTCTCTGTCCATTTTTCTGATGCCTCTAGGTTCTCCTGTGAATTTAAGTTGTCCTTCATTGTTTGTAATCCTTTTTTCCCTTGTTTTTTCATGGTGCTCACATTGCTTTCCAACTCTGTTTGACTGCTGTGTTTCTGATTTCTTCTTTAAATTTGTTTTGGTTTTTATAGTTCCAACATCTCTCCTTTATGTTGGGAGACAATGTTTAGAGATGTTGGATTTAATTGTGAATTAAGGTAAATTCATTAGTTTCATTAGAGGCCCACAGAATTTGATGGCATGTATAGAATTGAGGTTTGAACTTAGGATTTTATGTTGAGGTCGGGCGCTTTGATGGTATGGAGGTTAGTGTATGTTAGCTTCTTTGGGGGGTTGCTCAAATGCAGGCGGATATTAACAAGAGAATAGACAGGAGTACTTGGGGGTAGTTAAGGGCTTAGTAAGTTGTACGTAATCTGGGTGGTCATGTTAAGAGGGAAAAGGTAAGGAAGCAAACCAAGAAAGAGAGAGGGAGAGAGGAAAGAAAGAGAAAAGAATAGAAAAGAAAAGAAAAATGATAAAAAAATAAAATAATAAAATGCAGTAAAATAAAAATTACAATTAAAAAAATAAAAAAATAATTAAAAAAATTTAAAATTAAAAAATTAAAAAAATTTAAAAATTTTTTTAAAAAAGGGCACTGTTAGGCTTCTATTTTCTTCGCTTCCAGTAGATGGTGCTGTGCTTTCCGGGCCAAGATTTTGCCCTCCGGCTGTAGAAAACAATCCGTGTGAGGCTGCTCTCTCCTTCCCACCCTGGTGTCTCGCAAAATCTGTTAGCTTATGTTTATTCCTGGTCTCTAGTCACCTCGCTTCTCCTGCCAGCCAGGCCTTTCCCAGTGTGATACCTCTCCACAGTTCAAGCTACACTCTGGGCCTGCAGTTTCCTGGATGTGTAGCATGGCTATTGGGAACCGGCCCCTATTGTTTTGATTCCCTCCGATAGCCCCTCCTCCGAGAGCTGGCAAGACAGGTTTCGTTTTCGCTGCTGGTGGGAGGGGGGAGTTGGAGGTCAGGTGCCTTTACCTTTCCCCACGCCTTTATTCATGCTCCCGGAAAGCCAGGGAGAGATTTTATGCGATTTCCCCACTGTATGGGAGATATGGTCTAAATGACACACACCTGTTCTATCGCTGAGCGTGCTGCAATCTGTCAGACACTGGCGCTGGTGACGTCAGCTCTCCAAGATGGTGGCCGCTGGCTTTCTCGGTGGGCTGTCCAGTGTGGAGGACAGAACTGGACCGCTTCCTTCCCCCATCTCAAACCCAGAACTCAGCCCGCAGCACAGTGAAGGCACAGCCGGCAGGACCCCACAGAATCCTCAGTACCGTTCCTCTGCATTGCTGGCCGCCGATCAAACAGCCTGAATCTCCAGGCAGACGGTTCACTCGCGGTTGAGCCCCAGTAACCGATCCTCGGGGGATAGAAATCCTTCCTCTAGGTTTTGGTGCACCCCAATTTTGCTGGAAATTCCTAACAAGATAGCTTTTGGCTGTTCTAACTCGTTATTCACCTGCGCAGTGACGTGGTACACGGGGGTGATGCACTCTATTCACCGCCATCTTCCTTCCTTATATATCCATTTTTTAAAAGGATATGTTTTTACAGCTGCAAGGTGGGAGGCTTTTTTTAGGCCAAATGGCTTACTTTTAAAAAGATGATGATGAGTGAGGTCTACTTATCATAACATTGTAGATTATTATTCCTGCAGTTCTAGCTGGACATACGTGTTAACTTATTTGCTCAAAAAAAAAAAAAAAACATTGCCAGCCTTACTGATTCCAATTATGTAAGTATAAATTGAATCGGAAGAGCAAGTAATAACACTGATTCGGGCCTCTTTTTTTTGTGTGTTGATTTTATATTTTAAAAAATTTTGCATGCTTTTATACAAAAAGTTAAGCAATATAGAAAAACACAAATAACTTGAATCCTTCCATATAACTATGACCTTCATTCCTTATATCTCTATGCATCAAGCTAGTATATTGCCATGAAATCCGAAGCAGGAAGGAATGTATGATGGATAGAAAAATCAAAATTGTCAGTTGTTGCAGGGGAGGCAGAAAGAATGTGGACTGAGAACTTACATAGCTTTGTTAATTTGCACATCATTGGTTATATGTATATATTTTTTAATTGATTGATTTTTGTGGTGCTGGGGATTGAATCCAGGGCCTTGTGAATGCAAGGCAAGTACTCTACCAGCTGAGCTATATCCCCAGCCCATCTTTAGCGATTTCTGTCGTGGAAGCTCTAGAAAGGGAAGGCCATGGTACAAGGAGTCAAAGTAAAGCAGGCCCATGAATATGTAAAATTAGTGAGGTCACACTCTTAATTTTGCTGTGGTTTTAATGTTGTTTTAAAAGTAATTTGGCAGTATAAGAATTAGGACTGAGGGACATCAAGAAACAAAGGATTCTAACTAAAGAACATCAATGTTGACACAGTAGGCCTTTGTGAGAAAACTATTGGGAGAGCCAGCTGTATACTTTTTATTACTGTGGAAGTCACAAATAAAAATTGGTTCTAGGGCTAGGGGTGTAGCTCAGTGGTAGAACACTTGCCTAGCACCAGTGAGGTCCTGGGTTCTATCCTCAGCACCACATAAAAACAACTAAATAAAATAAAGACTAATTAAGAAAAAAAAAATAACAAATAACTCTGGGTTTTAAACAACTGGCCTAATATGAACTTTTGTTTGTTTATTTACGTATTTAGCAGTGCTGGAAATCAAACCCCAGGCTTTGTGCATGCTAGGCAAGTACTCTACCACTGAGCCCCAGCTCCCTAATTTGTTTTTATTTTGTAGCAGGGAAAGTATGTCTGTATTGAAAATCTGGACCATAGTTGTTAATTAAATTTCTTTGAGTCTTCAGAAGTTTACACTGTATTGAAAATTTTTACAGGTTTTAATGCTGACACTACAGAATGATCCTCCTTCTTTGGAAACTGGTGTTCAAGATAAAGAAATGCTGAAAAAATATGGCAAATCATTTAGAAAAATGATTTCATTGTGCCTTCAAAAGGATCCAGAAAAAAGGTAAAATGTAAAAGAAACTGTACTTTTCTGTCCATTGATATGTAAAACATTGTGGGTGATCTGAGATTCATATCTAAAGGGCTAACTATAAAGTTTTAAAAAGTATACAGAGACTATTTTACAAGACAGTTTCACATTGATGGTCTTGATTTCTGTCTTCTTTTTAGTATATAGTGTACCCTAAATAGTTTTAACTATTTCTTAGTGTTCTAGAGCTATAAAATTATATATTATGAATGCTGTATTAGTAAAAAGTCAGGTTAATGGGAGATGTTTGTATTTACTTTGCACTTAAAATTTTTAAGTAAACAAATATCATTTATAATTTAATAACAAAAGGAATATACATAACAAGTTTATATTTAGTGTCAAATAATAGTACTTCTTTCCATGTTAGAAAGCTTTTAGTAACTGGACCAGAATTTTAAGTTGCTTCTTTGTCAGTTCTAGACAGATTGAATGGCAAGTGAACAAATAAGTAAAAATATTCAATGCATATATTTTTGTCTATTAAACAGCATTATAGAATGTTGGATGTCATTGAGTACAAGCTTTTCTCTGTGGTCATAGATGTGGGAACTTGAATTCAAAAGTCTTTAATCATAATTTAGGCCTCTGTTGTATACCTTATTTTTCTGTTTCATATATGTATATCAGTTCTGCATAGAGACAGGTTTTACATTCACAGGTTCAGCCAACCATGGATCAAAAGTATTCTAGAAAAAAAGTAAAACTGTACTGAACACATAGACTTTCTTGTAATTATTCCATAAGCAGTATAGTATAAAAACTGTTTACATAGCATTTACATTTTATTGGATATTATAAGTAATCTGGAGATGGTTTAAAGTACATGGGAGAATTGTATATAGGTTATGTGCAAATATTGTATCATTTCTTATAAGGGACTTTAATATCTACAGATTTTTGATAGTGGTGAGGGGTTCTGGAGCCAGTTTTACTGAGATACCAAGGGACAACTGTGTATTCCACTGAGTTTCTTAGCACTTAAAGTTCTTTAATTTTGTTTTCTCTAAAGGTCAACAAAAGTAAGACTTTGACATCCTTGATCATATCTCTAGTATATATAATGGGGCTTCAGAATTTACTGTTGGAATTATTGGAAAGGGTAAGAAAAATAGGCAGCAAAGTTCATACCTAAAAGTAGGAAACACTTGCTTCTCCCAAGTTAGTGAACAAAAAGAATAAATTCTCTTGTTACAGATAATTAGAAATGCCAGAGAAAAGCTATCAAACTTAAAAATCCCTGGATACCAGAAATAATGAGGTAACCATAGATTAGGGAAGAAGTATTAGGAATTAATCCAGTAGCTGCCTTCAGTGGGACTGTTCATTCTAGTAACCTGCTAGGTTTTGGATTTCTAACTCCCATGTTATGACTAGAATTGAGATCTTGGGCTCCCCACCACAGAGGAGATTTTGCACTGACATGCTGCTTAAGCTAAGATCTTCAGAAGTCTACATACTCAGTAAAACCGTAGACTAGAATAAAACTGTCCATCATATCATCATCATTAAGAGAAAACAGAGATCTTTCCCGATTAAATGTCAAACCCTCAACCTTGATGTTCCACAAGTTGACAGTCTAAATTCATACCCAGGAACCCACATACTAGAAAGTAAAAAAAAAAAAAAATTGTTGCAAAGCCAGTTTTACTCTTGGCTGAAGGAATCTCAGAGAAATGCACTAGAAGCACATTTCCAAATTTCAGGTCCCATGATTCCTGCATATAATGTCCTACTGAAGATAGGATCACAGTCTAAAATTACAATACACTATGAATTGGAGGTGGCAGGTATAAGTAGAAACATTATTTGTTCAAGATATTAAGATAATTCAATGATATAATTAAAATCATAAAAGAAATCAGAACCCACAAGAGTTTGAGCATTACGAAAATGTAAGTAGCACTATTAGAAATGAAAAAATATAGTAATTAAAATTACTTAATAGATTCCCTTGAGTGTGGGTTGGATTGTGATTTGTTTCGGATTAAAGTATGAAAAAGAAAAAAAATGGCAATTTTACAGAGAAGAAATCTGGTCATAACTCCATCAAGTGATAAAGGTTAATCACCACCATTAATACAATGAAATGATACTGTGTAATTTATTTGATGCAATTAGAAGGGCACATCACCTATGAAGTATTCTTTCTTTGAATTTGTAATTTTAGTTAATAACTAGAAAACAATCAGACATCCAAATTGAGGAGTATACTACAAAATACCTGGCCAGTACTTTTTTAAAGTGTCAAGGAAAGGAGAGACTAAGAAGATACTATCACTGATAGGGGGAGATGATGGAGACTGGCAACTCAGTGCAACAAGGTGTCCTGCATTAGATGCTACAGTAGAAAAATGAAAGAAATGAGGGGCTGGGATATAGCTCAGTTGGTAGACTGCTTGCCTCACATGCATAAGACCCTGGGTTCACTCCCCAGCACCACACCAAAAAAAAAAAAAAAAAAAAGAGAGAGAGAGAAATGAAAGTAATGGAAAAATTGGAGAATCTGAGTAAAGCCTGTAGTTTAGTTAATAGTACTGTACCAATGTGAGTGTTTTAGTTAATGGCTTGATAATTAGACCATGGTAATGTAAAATGCTAACCTTAATGGAAGCTGATGAAAGGTAAGTGAGAACTTTGTACTACCTTTGCAACTCAAATCTATAAGTCTGATATTGTTATAAAGTGGTTTTTTTTAAAAAAGAAAAAAAAAACCCTGGGAAGTATAAAAAATCTAATTTCTGTTATTTAAACCAAAATCAAACTTTGTTTAGGGCATTTCTAATATATATGGCATTTCTAGGATAAAACGAAAGAACCCTAAATGAACTGGTTAAAAATCTACCTTTTCCAGTGTTGCAAAACGTCTCACATTCAGCCTCAGGGAACAGATTACTTACTAAGGAATAGCAGGTAGACTGTAAACCACTTCCCCTTAAAGAGCCTGTAGAAAAGATAACTATTGGCTCAGCAAGTACCAGGCACTTTTATAAACATTTAGTGTATGTCATCTTGTTTAATTTTCATGCCATCCATGACGATGGCACTCTTATTTTCTTTGTTTTACCAATAAAAAAACCTGAATCATAGGTTAAGTAACCTTGCCTGAAGTCACACATCTAATAAATGGTGGAGTTAGGATTTTGACCTATGCAATCTGACTTCAGAGTGCCTGTTTTCAATCTCATTACACTTTATTAAGGAAATTGTTCAACATATAGCACAAAAAATGAATGGTATAATTATGAAAGAAAGATGAACATTCCAAGGGTGAGAAAATTCAGAGAGTGAGGGTGTGCTTACGCACATCTGTGTTCAGGTTGAATGTCTCTTGTCTGAAATGCCTGGGACCAGAGAGTTTTTGGATTCCAGAGTGGTTTTTTTTTCAATTTTGTAATATTTGCATTTTCCATAATGAGATATCTTAGAAATGGGATCCAAGTCTAAACACAAAATTGTTTTTATTTCTTGCATAGCATATACATAGCCTAAAGATTGTTTCATGCACAAAATGCAATATTGTTGATTTTGTGCATGAAACAGTTTCATGGCATGGAATTTTCTACTTGTGGCATTATGTTAGCACTCAAATTTTGGATTTTGGAGCATTTCAGATTTTAGATTTTTGAATTAGGGATGATTAACCTATATAAATAAATACACAAATATTTACATATACACATATATGAACTAGCCAGTAAAGACTAGAGAGAATGTAGGGGAAGCAATAGTCAAAGAAATAATGGCTGAACATTTTTTTTTATTATTAAACACTATAACTCAGATTAAAGAACCATTTTCCCCAGGTTCCAGGCATTGTCTACCTTTTCCAGTGTTGAAAATCTTCTTATATTCAGCCTCAGAGAACACATTACCTACTGAGGAATAGCAGGTAGACTGAAAACCACTTCTCTGTAACAATAATTGAGGCCAGCATATAGTTAAATAATGCTGAGAGAAGTTAACTGTTAGCCCAGAATTCACCATCTAGTCTAATTAGTATTAAAGAGTGAGCATGAAGTGAAGATGTTTTTCACACAAACATTGTTTTCCAATCACATCCTTTCACTTAACCCTTCAAAAGCTGTACTTTTTGAGCAGGGTGCAGTGGTGCACACCTGCAATCCCAGACACAAAGGAGGATTATAAGTTTGGGATGACCCAGGGCAATTTAGCAACATCTTGTCTCAAGATTAAAAATAAAAAGGGCTGGGGATGCAACTCAATGGTAGAGTTCCCCTGGATTCAATCCCCAATACTGGGGAAAAAACTTTAAAAAGAAGGAAATGAACCTAGAAGAACGAATAGTAAGGAGCCATCTTGGGCAAATTGTTGAAGCAATGAACTCTCTCTCTTTTTTTTTAACATTTATTTTTTAGGTGTAAATGGACACAACACAATGCCTTTATTTTCTTTTTTTATGTGGTGCTGAGGATTGAACCCCGGTCCCGCCCGTGCTAGGCGAGCACTCTACCGCTGAGCCACAATCCCAGCCCCAAAACAATGAACTCTTGACTAATTTCACATTTAACTGCTTTCTTAAAAGCCCTCTCCCATTAAATCCATGGCCTCAGTCTTTCTAGGCAAGCTCTCTACTACTGAGCTACACTCCTAGATTGCTAGTCCTCGAGGGATTGGTTCTTAAGCTTGAATGCACATTGAAATGACCTGGACAGTTAGAAAAAAAAAAAAACACAAAAACAAAAAAACTGCTGATACTAGGTTTTGTTCCAATACATTCTGCTTTCATTGTTCGTTAGGATTTTTAAACACCTCAGATACTCTAACACACAGCAGTGATTAAGAACTGCTGCTCAGGCTGGGGATGGTGCTTGCCTAGTGTGTGCTGAGGCCCTGTGTTTGATCTGCAGCATGCAAAAACAAAGAAACAACAACCTCCCCCCCACCCCTTAGAGGCTTGACTAGGTAATATTGAACCTTAGATGAATTGTGATTTTTGTAGAAATATGTGTTATGTGTGTGACATAATCAGGTGTAGGTTTTTTAAGTGTAAAATTCTTTATTCTGAAATAATGTATTTTTTAAAGTTTTTTAAATTAGTGATGAATTTAGTCAAAACTGTAAAAATATTGCTCACAGTTGAATTAAAAATTAACTTTGGTTAAATCTGGGGAATATACTTTACTTTTGGAATTTTCTGGTCTTCCTTCCCCTTCCGTCTCCTTTCTTCACTCCTCCTCCCTCTTTCTTTCTCATACTGAGATTGAAGTCAGGATCTGGACATGCTAGGCAAGTGCTTTACTAACTACTGAGCTTCATCCCTGGCCCAAATCTTCAGATTTTTAAGGGAAATTGTGAAGTCTGGTTTTCAGAATCTAGTTGCCTTTAGTTGAAACTTGTCAGGCAACCTTGTAACAAGAAGCAGAGTTTTTCCTTTCAGTAGGAAACCAATGCCTCGAGGACTAGCAAGTCTAGGAATGTAACTCACTTTCTTCTTTGTGATCTTAAATATGTTTTTATGCTTTGCTAAAAAATTAGAGTATATAATTTCTCTTGGGAAATAATAATATTAAATAGTAAATATGTTGGAAGTATTCTTCCAGAAACAACATTTCACTAATGAAATTTTCAAAGAATGTCTTAATTATTATCAAAACATTTCTATTTGAGTGTTTTATTCTACTTGATGTCTTATATCCAGGTTATTCTACTTTTGTTTTTTAGCAGGTTAAGGAAAGTGGAGCCTACTCAGTTTTTATTTTTGCTGCTCAAAAAGTAATTTTCTCATTTTTGAAGATATAAACTCACATTGCACTTGAATTAACTGCAAAAACTGTTTTTTGTGGGTTTTTTTCCTGCTTTTAGACCAACAGCAGCAGAACTATTAAGGCACAAATTTTTCCAGAAAGCTAAGGTAGGATATTTTATCTTTTGATCTTATATGTGTTTAAATGATGCTGCCATATTATGTTCAGTGTTCATAAGTTGTATTTCTTAAGATGATTCTGTGTGGAAGAATGATAGAAGATAAAATAATAATTACTGAGGGTATTATGAATATAATTTTTGGTATATAAGACACTTGCTTTGGAATTCAGTAAATATCTTTTTATGGTATAAATTAAATGTCAAGTTAAACTTATGGCAATATTTAATATTAATTTTTTGCCATTATAATCTGTGAAAAACATTGAACTCTCATTTCAAAGTTTACTACTTAATTTGTGAATAATTTGTTTCCCAGAGATAGTGGTATGTTATTATACTTGGAAATTCAGGATCAACAAATTTTGCCATATAATAAAGCAAACTTTCCATAATGGTTTATTCAACATATTGAAGCTCTGTCTCAGTTTCTAAAACCATGGCAGTAATGTACTGTAGTAGTTTCATACTACTTCATAAGACATATTAATTGTGATGAACATTTCCTTGTCAATTTTATTGGTTCAACAAAAAATTTTTATAAAAAGAAAATACGTATTTTTCCCCTCCAGAATAAAGAATTTCTTCAAGAGAAAATATTGCAGAGAGCACCTACCATTTCTGAAAGAGCTAAAAAGGTAAATGGAGGATCTAATAAGTTTTCTTAGGAAATTTCTTAAGAGTTGATTTATTTTTGATTTTGAAAGTAAATGTTAATTAATATTCAGTTAACTGAAGCAGGATTATTCATTTTCTCTCAACCTTTTCTAAAGCATTCTTTGGTATATTCATCCAACAAATATCATATGCTAGGGCATTACTCTGCTATCTACTGGAATACAAAGGTATGCTGGACAGTAATCTGTGAGTTAATTCTGACCCCTGTTTAATCATGCTTTCCAGCTTCTTGAGTGAGTTGTGATTTTATGTAGCATTTATAGCTGCAGTACCTGCTAGCTGCAAACTTTTTGTTGCTTTGACTGAAAGACCAAAAGAACCTTGTTCATAAGTCGTTTCTAAGAACTTTGGTCAGAATGTGAACATAGAAATGCATTAAGATCTAAGTTTGAGCAAATGTGAGTTTTTCCTTCCAGTAGGGAAAAACCCTTTCTTCCCTTTCCCTTCTTTTCCTCAACACAGACTTATCCAGTCTAAAGGAAATGAGGCCAGTTGGCTTCTGCTGATGTTAGACTTGAGGGAGAAGGTAAAGAAAGGTATTGTACCTCATGGAGCATGGTGGTAGGATTGTCTGGGAAGTTCGAGTAAATCTAATAAGTGACTTATTCACCTCCATAGATTTCAGTACTTGGGAATTCTGATGTTATTTAGAAAGTTTTTATTGATAAAGAATCAGAAAAGTATATTTAACACTTTGAAATGATATTTGTAGCACTGGTAGCACAATTAACTCGTCTCTACTTCATAGAGATACATCTTCTGCAGACTTAGATACTTAAATCTTGTTATTAAGGTTCCTTCCTGCTGGGTGTGATGGCACACACCTGTAATCCCAGCAGCTCCAGAGGCTGAGGCAGGAGGATCATGAGTTCAAAGCCAGCCTCAGCAATTGAGTGAGGCCCTAAGTAATTTAGCAAGACCCTGTCTCTAAATAAAATATAAAAAGTGTTGGTGATATGGCTGAGTGGTTAAGTGCTCTTGGATTCAATTCCTGGTACCAACCAACCAACTAACAAATAGACAACCACTCAGGGTCCTTCTTTTCTTTACAAGGAGTTCTTGAGAAGTACCAGGTTACTATTTTCTAACTTTTAAACCTACATTTAAAGAGTTATACTACCTCCCTTCTGGAAAAATTTCCCCTCTTGCCTTAGGATCTTTTGACTTGCTATACTCTTTTTTCCCCCCCCTTTTTCAATGGTTATATCCATTGTTAACATCAGAATTACCTTGAGACTTAAAAAAAAAAACAAGCATCATAAGTAGTGTAATGCCAAGCCAATTAAGTCATCTCTAGGAAATGGAATCTTGAAGATTACTCTTCATGGATAGTCACTTGGTCAGACACTCATGGCTCATTCTTCCATTTCATTCAGGTCTCTACTCAAGCTTCATTTCCTCAAAATAGTTTTTTCTGATTATCTTAAAATAGTCCCCTCCTATCACTTTCTGTTCTTTTATCCTACTTTATATATATATATTTTTAAAGGACTTAATCACCATCTGACATTTACTATCTTTCATTAGAACAAAAGCTTAATGAGATCAAGGACTTTGGATTGTAGCTGTATCTTCAGTAGGCCTGGATCAGTTCCTGACACTCTGTAGATATCCAGTAAATAATTTGAATGCATATTAAAATCTTTATGCTTATAATTGTTTGCAATAAATCCCAATTGAGAGAGATGTCTAATATCTTCAGTGTAATTTATTTAGGAAGACAAACCCTCAAAAAGATAGCACAGTGAATAGCTACATTTATTCCCACTCTCTACTTAATAAAAGATATGTTAAGAAAATTCATAAACCCCAAACTGACAAAATATGAGAGAAATGAAGGTTGCAACCAAGTTTTCAAAATTATGATGTCAATAAGCTAGTGGTAAGGAACTTGGCAAGTCAGAGGACTCCAATTGCTAAATCATCATTAAAGTTTTAGAACCTGCCTTACACAGCAAAACCCCTAAACTTAGGTGCGGTAGCAATACCAGGTACCTTTAGAATATAAGTAAGGCCAAAAGCCAGAAGATTGGTTGACAGTTCCTGTCCCTCACTCCATGCTGTACACTAGGCATTGTATTGAAGTTTATTCTGCAGAAAGATAAAAGAAATGGTATTTATACTAAAGGACACCAAGCATAGTTGAAGATAGAAATAACTTACTGAAAATGGATATTTGATTGAATGTGTACATACTGAATGTTAAAACTCTTCAGTCATATTACTTTATTCAGTTACTTCAACATAAGCATTAAAGCTTATTGTCCTTCAGACAGAATATTGGAAGATCTAATGAAGATCAATCCAACTAGCCCCAGAGGAAAGATTTAAAAGGTACTGATGTTTAGGGTTCTCCTGTGAAATGCCTACCCAGATCTTTTTGCAGCAAAACTCATAGTCAGCAAATTTTACTCCCTTAAAAGCTTAGTGCTTCAAATTGATTTTTTAGTTTCAGGATCTTAATAGTGCAATAGTGCAGGTGTCTAGGATCGAAGGGTATATGAGGAAAATTCTTTAAATAAAATCATAACTCTTCAGAGGTAAGAATTTGCCTTCATAAAACAAGAACATGATACTATTAAAAAAGAAGCATTTGTGCCAAGATAATTCAATGAGTAAAGAACAGTCTTCAACAGATGGTGCTGGGACAACTGGGAGAATGAGGTTGGGTCCTTTCCTCCCACCATGCAAAAAAATTAGCTTAGATTAGATTGTAGACCTAAATGTAAGAGCTAAAGCTTTAACTCTTGAAAGAAAATACAATAGTCCTCTCACCTGCAGTTTTATTTTCCTTAGCTTTGGTTACCTATCATAAATAGTGTGAAAATATTAAATGGAAAGTTCCAGAAATAATTCATAAGTTGAAAATTCTGCACAATGAAATCTTACTTTGTCCTGCTCTGTCCCAGGTGTGAACCATCTCTTTGTTCAGCATATCCATGCTGTGTATGCTACCAGCCCATTAGTCACTTGGTAGCCATCCCATTTATCAGATTGAACTATCGTGGTATTGCAGTTCTTGTGTTTAAGTAACCATTATTTTATTCAATAATAGACCTAAAGCATAAGAGTAATAATGCTGGCAATTTTATTGAGGAAAGTTGTTATAATTATTCTATATTAGTATTAGTTATTATTAATCTAGTAATACAAAATTTTATAAATTAAACTGTCATAGGTATCTTTATAGGAAAAAACAGTATATATAGGATTAGGTACTATCTTTGGTTTCAAGAATCCACTGGGGGTATTGGATTGTATTTACTAGGGAAGGAGAGACTTGTTCATAGGAATAAATCTTTGGGACCTTCCTTGAATTAGGCAAAGCTTTCTAAGCTATGACACCAAAAATACAATAAAAGAAAATAATTGATAAGTTGACTTCATCAGAATGAAAAACTTTTGTGCTTTAGTAGATCCCATCAAGAAAGTGAAAAGAAACTTACCAAGTGGGAGAAAATATTTCTAAACCATAATGTGAAATGGGACTTGAATCAGAACTTTATAGAGAACTGATTCAATAATGAAAAGAGAACTCAGTTGAAAAAAATGGGCAAAGGATTTGGGTAGAAACCTCTTCAAAGAAAATATACAAATGGCTGATAAACACGTTAAAAGATGCTCAGTATCATTTTCCATCAGAGAAGTGCAAATTAAAATAACAGTAATATACTTTACACCAACTAATAATGGCTATAGTTAAAAAAAAGTAACAACTGTGGGTAAAGAAGTGAAGAAACTGGAATCCTTATACATTGCTGATGGGCATGTAAAATGAGCAGCAGTTTTGAAAATAGCCTCGGGGTTCCTGAAATGGCCAGAGTTATTATATAACCCAGCACTTCTACTCCTAGGCATACCCAAGAGAATTGAAAACATATGTACACACAAAAATGTGCATAAGTGCTCATAGCAACATTATTTATAGTAACTGAAAAATGGACACAAATGTCCATCAACTGATGAATGAATATATAAAATATGGTATGTCCATACAATGGGATATTATTCAGGAATAAAAATAATGAAGTACAGATGGTGTTCAATTTAGGATTTTTTTCAACTTGGTGATTGTGCTTAAGTAATAAGCACAATGGTTTTCAGTAGAAACATACCGTGATTTTGAAATTTGATCTTTTTCTGCACTAGCAATATTTGTATAGTACTCTCTTAAGATGCTGGGTACGGGGTGGTGGTGGGGGGTGGGGGATATGTCACAAGAAAGATCAGGAGTCACAATAACCTCAGTAAGCCAGAGTGTAGTAGAACAGTTCAAAATTTGGAGGGAGAAAATATTTCTTAGATTCCTTTTCTCTACCAAATTGTGAATGAAATGTGGGAATACAGACAGGATATGTTTAGAAATGCCTGACTTTAATAAATGTGGAGGAAGTATTTAAACTAAAAAGAGGGCAGTTGTATGACCCAGGAAGCTCAATCCTCTGCCTTGTGGTAGAGCACTATCTGAATTAGCCCTGATATGAAACTAGGCTGGCTGGACAGATGGAGGGAGAGGAGATTTACCCAGCTGAAAGAGTAAATATTAACTTCAAGGAAAACAAGATACGCAGCAAAGAGAGCTAATCATAATTTATAGTAAGGCTCAAAAGTGATATCATGTATGTATAATCATGTGATGTAAATACCAAGTATTGATCTAACCAAGATTACAGCGTAACTTGAAAAAAGAGTACGGAGTTGATAATACAGTGAAAATTGTCATCTTCCATAGTGGGACGTTCCATAGATAATTCCTAAAACCAAAAAGGTAGTAATGTGATACATTATTTTAAAATAATAAGCTAAAATGAGTTGAAAGTAAACTATTTTCAAGTATAATTTTGATTTAAGAAATTGAAAAATAAAAGAATACTCTTTATCTTGGTTTTATTTTTGAGAACCAAAACCTTTTATTTCTTAACTGTCTCAGGACATTAACATATTAGTCAGATTCGAAGAGGCATAGAAAATGTTTTTATGTTGTTTGGGCTCAGTATAGAAGGTTGTGACTAAAGACTGATAAGTGGAGATTGTGAATAGAGAGCAAGTAAGGTTTGGAGGGTATGAAGTTACGAGGGAATACTTACTCATGAGGAAAATAATTATTCATTTAGCAGGTTGAAATGATAGAGGTGGGGTATGGTTGTGTTTTCTGCTTAGTAAATGTTAAACAATCCACATCTGTTTCTAATGAGCAGGTTCGGAGAGTACCAGGTTCCAGTGGCCGTCTTCACAAAACAGAGGATGGAGGCTGGGAATGGAGTGATGATGAATTTGATGAAGAAAGCGAAGAAGGAAAAGCGGCAATTTCACAACTCAGGGCAAGTTTTGTATTTAACTGTATGTGGTTCTTGTTCAGCCTAACCAGCTAAAATGTAGAGTACGAGTGTTAACTGGCCGAGTTTCTTTGAAAAACTTAGCAGGTGTCTAATTCATTCTGCATGGAAAATTGGACTTGGTGCATCTGTTTGAATATGATAATATTTAGACTATTTAAACATGACCCAAATTTAATCTGGGCATAGTGGTGCACACCTGTGATCCCAGTGACCAGAGCTAACCTCAGCAATTTAAAACAAACAAAACAAAACAAAACAACAACAACAAAAAAAAAACCAAACCCAAATTTAGAGATGAAAACTATGTTTGAGATGAAAAAATACAGTAGGTAGGATTAATGGCTAATTAGACATTGCAGAAGAGAATAGTGAACTTGAAGGCCTGCCAATTAAAAAAAAAACTTTGTCCCTGAAGTCTGTGTCCTTCTGCCTGAAGAAGAACAGTTCTTTAGTTGGTGTCCTGGATTATCTGTCTGGGGTGTGTGTGTGTGTGTGTGTGTATTAGTTTTTGTTAGAAGCATCAAAGACAAGGGCCTTCCTTTTAGTTTGTTTCTTTCATAATTCTTACTTAAAGTTAGTTAATGCCTCAAGTTGATTGTGGGGACTCATTCCCAAGAACAGAAGTTTGTGTAAAGGTAAGTGTCATACCCTTGCCTGCTCGATCTTTTTTGTGAGATGAATATTGGAATAGTGGTAATACCACTGCTTACTTTCAGGATCTACTCTACTGTGAATACTTACCACTCTGTTATCAACCTTCAATATTTGTTGAACTTGTTTATCAGTTGAAGTCTTGGAGTCTAGTCCTTTTGCTGAGTTATTTGTTAAGACTTTGCCAATGAAAATTGGCAAAACTTTATTAAGCTCTAAGCTTGGAAAAGCTCTGTAAAAGATAAGAATTGTAAACATTAATTACATGTAATTGAATTTATTATTTAACAGATGTGAGATCATGGCATCCTTTTTTCCTTATCTTTTCATGTGACTCCTCTCTGGACACATTGATGCTCTTGTGTAATGTTACATTAAAGCTTCTAATAGAACCTAGAGCTACATGAATATTGTAGTTCTTCCTCCCTGTGAAAGAGATGATGATATTATTTTCCCTCTAACAAATATTTAGAAAGATAAATTGTAGCTTTTCACTCTCTGATTATTACCTGCTATTTATCAGAAAGAGAAATTTAGTACTTCTAAATTAGTTACACTAGCATTTTCATAACCTAACACACTAGTGTCTAAATATCATAGAAAATTATGGGCTTATCTACTGAATAAGTAAATTTATGTTCAACATTTCTTATGTTATATTTATAGATGTTTTTGAGACCATGAATTCTAAGAAAATGAATCTTTTAAAACTAAGTTGAACTATATTAAGAAAACAATATACCATGATAGAAGCTGAAAATGTAGCTGAGTGGTAGAGTTTTTAACCTAGCATGTATGAGGCCCTGGGTTCAATCCCTAACAGGGAGGGGAAAAAAAAAAGAATATACTATGATCTGATGGGGACAATGATGGTTTGGTGTTAAGAAAACTTTTAATATTAACAGGTCTAAGAAGGCAAAAAGTCATATTGTTATTTTCGTAAATTTTTATTTTGTCGAAGCCATTGACAAAGTTCACGTTCAGAATAAGGATTCATATAGATCTAGATTTCCACTTGTTACTTTCCTTATTCCCAGAGGACTTCCCTTAACGTGTGTGTGCATATGTATGTAGGGGTCGGAGTAGGGGGTGGATCTGCTGGTGAGGATTTTTTTAAGGTTTTGTGACTGAAAACATCTCTCATTTACCTTTATTAAAAAAAAAAAAAGTGGGTTTGCAGATTGTAGAATTCTTGATTGACAGCTTTTTCTTCCAGTTTTTTTTTTCAATCAACAAATATTTATTATACCATACATCAGATCCTCTTACATGTTATTTATTGTTATACCATGTGTCAGATACTTTTACAAGTTTTTGAGTATCAAATATAGTCTTAATTCTTGCTATCAATGTCCTCCTAGTTGACTGAGGAAGCAAGTATAGGAAGAGATAAATGTCTTTATAGAGTGTTTGTTCCTTTTCTGTTTAATTTGGTATTTGTTATGTGGCAATTTTTTAATGTTTATTGTATTGTGTTGTGAAAATTTATAACTAAAAACTTTAAAATATATTAATATGTTGCCTCTGATCTCACTATAAACTATGTTTATAATCAAGTCTTTCTAATTTTATTGTGACTTAGAAATATGTATTTTATTGAGACATAATTATACCTCTTATGGAGTATAGTACAATATGTGTATACAGTGTGTAATGGTTAAATAAGAATACAAGGCACTTCCATCTCCTCAAATATTAATCATTTTTATGTACTGGGAACTTTCTTCTAGTTATTTTAAAATACATCATTTGTATTCTGTATTCAGTGTTTTAAAGATGTTTTTCCACTATTTTTTATCTTCCCTGTTTCCACTAAGAAATTTGGCTACATTCTTCTCTCTCTCTCTCTTTTTTTTAAATATTTTATTAGTCATCGATGTGGTGCTGAGAATCAAACCCAGTGCCTCACAAATGCCAGGCAAGCACTCTACCACTGAGCCACAACCCCAACCCCTCTTTTTTTTTTTTTTTTGAATAATGTATCTTTTTTTTTTTTCCAGACTGCTTTGAAGATTTTTTTTTTCTTTTAAATGGCTTTGAGCAATTTGATTACAATATGCTACATGTATTTTTCTTCATGTTTCTTGTGCTTGGGGTTTGTTGAGTTTCTTGGATCTGTGGATTTATAAGTTTTTGTCAGGTTTGGAAAATTTTCAGCCATTATATCTTCAAATAATTGTTCTTTCTCCTAATAACATGTTTATTAAGCTGGTCAAAGTGGTGTCAGAGCTCATTAATTGTCTTTTTATTTTTTAAAGATTCTTCTTTTGACTGGGATTGTGGTTCAGTGGTAGAGTGCTTGCCTGGCACATGTGAGACCTTGGTTTCAATCCTTAGCACCACATAAAAATAAAGATATTATATCCATCTACAACTAAAATTTTTTTTAATTTTTCTTTTAATTTTTCATAGGTTCTATGCTATCCTTCAAGTTCATATATATTTTCTTCTGTAATTTCTAATCTGCTACTAATTTTATTCAGTCTATATTGCAGGTGTTCTAATAGTCTAGAAGTTTATTTTTTTTATCTTATTTCTTCCACATTTCTACCTTTTAATGATATGTAATACATTTATAATAACTATTTTAACGGGTTTTCCTGCTAATTCTAACATCCATGTCAGTTCTGGATTGATTTTACTTGTTTTATAACTCTCTTCATATTGGTACAGGAGTGTTTTCCTACATCTTCATACCTGGTGATTTTTGACTGGCTGCCAAGCATTGTGAATTTTACCTTGTCACATGGCACTCATTTTGTATTCTGGTAGATCTTCTTGAGCTATATTCTGGATTATATAGTAAAGTAAGTTGAAAATATGTTTTTCCCCAGTCTCAAGTTGTTTTCTCACATATATGTATTGATAAGTGTTCTGCTAAATATTCAAATGGAATCCTCTGCAGATCTCTAGGGTTCTCTCATTATGTAGCTCTTTCTTCCCTAGTACTCTGTCTTATTATCTTATCTGTCTTGGCCTCCTTGGATTTGTAGCTCTGTTTCTTCTATTCATGCATTTAATTGGATTCCACCTAGGTTCCCCTTCCCTGTGCCACAGCATCCAAAAAACACTCAAGGTGGTTCCTGTGTTTCAGGGATCACACTCTTTCTTGTTTTTCAGTATCTTGAAAACATTTATTGTTTTTCTTTGCTTTGCTCTTCTTTGTTTCCTTTCTGGTTATTGTTTCAGACAGAAGGGTAAATCTAGCCCCTTGTTACCTATTGTTGACAGAGGTGGAGCCTACAATTGTATTTTAAGGGAATATGAAACTACTGAAGAGGTACAAAAACAACTAATCCAGGTAATTTAGGGACATGGTAATTGACTATCTTCTTTTAGAAGAGTTGGTAGAGGAGAGGGAAAACTTCAGATAAATCATAAACTCCTTTTATTACGATTTTTTTCATATTTGTACATGCAAAGCAGTTTTGAAACTCTTTTGTATAATGAGGTTAAGCAAATGAGTAAATGTCTTAATGTTCTTGGGAGCCAAGATTCTAATTATGAAAGAAGAAGAGACATACAAATGTGAAATAGGCAAAGTGAGAAAGGATTCTGTGGAGGTGGATTTGAATTGTAGGCATTGGTGTGGATGCAGGCTTCTGAAGTGTGCGTGATCTGAATGTGTATGTGCACATGTATGTATGTAAGTATGTATATGCTTGAATGTATTTTCAGTCTTTGTCTACTGAAAGGCCTAGAAACAAAGATACCACAATAACAGTGAGCATACCTTATGTCCAGATAATTTTCTCTAATATCATTCCCCACTAAAAGAACTGGGCTCTTTGAAAAATGAGTGGTTCCAGGACAGGGAAAATATTAGATGAATCACGAATATCTTTTTATACCAGTTTAAAAAAAAAATCTGAGGGAATAAATGATGCAGAAATCAGCTTGAAGCAGTGTGGTACAATTTAACCATTCAAATAATTTCTTTAAAAATAGGAATCTTTTGAGTCTGTACCAATTATTAATAGATACATAAACGAATGAGGAGAAAGATGTTTTTTCATTACACTGAACTGCCAAGTGCTGTCTGGTAAATGTGGAGATGAGAATTGGAGGTAGAAGAATTATTATTTTATAGCCATTGTCATTGGATCAGGGAAGAATCATCAAATACAGGGGGAAGTTTTGAGGAGCAGGATATTTTTAAGATTACCTTTTAGTTGCTAGATAAAGAAAAAAACATAGTTACTATCTACTGGAGAATTTAGAAAACTCTTTGGCCAGATGATTAAATTAATCTTCACTGGTGGGGGCAGATGAAGATTTCATACCCTATGAAAGACACATCACTATGCAGATTTCCAACTGGAAGTTCATGTAAGTCTAATCATGAAGAGACAGTAGACAAATCCCAAGTAAATAATATTCTGTTAAAGTAGTGGTATGGTAGTGCGTACTATATTCTTTAAAAATGTTAATATTCCAGATTTTAAAAATCTAAAGAAACAGTGACAATGTAATTAATACATGATCCTAGACTTCATCCTACACTGGAAGAAAATCACAAGATTATAAGGAGCATAAGGGTCTGTTGGCGTTTGGATTGTGGATAGTAAATTAGATAAAAGTATGGTATCTTTGTTAAATTTACTGAAGTTAAAAAACTGTACTGTGAAACTTTTTAAGAAAATGTCTCTGTTCTTAGGAAACACACATTCTCTTAAGTGGTAAACCATGGTATATGCAGCTTATTCTCACATGGTACAGGAAAAGTGATTTAAATATCTATTATGCACCCAAACTTTACATGGTGAAAAAAAAAAGCATCTTTTGTATTGTTATTATTGTAGCATCTTTTCTGTAAAAGAAAGAGAAATAAAACTTGGAATTATTTCCTAATACAGAATCCCCCGCCCCAGTAGTATTGAGGATTGAACCCAGGGCTTGGCTTACATTAAGCAAACACTCTATCACTAGGGTATACCCTGTTCCCCGCTGTCCTCAGAGCCCTCAAATAGAGAAGTGTTTTAAAAAGGGTTTTGGTCGGCCACTTACTTGCTGTGATAACTTTAGCTATTATCTGAACCTTGATTTTACTTAATACAATGGTGATGAAAATTATAAAACCTGAATTGGCCTTTCAAGTAGCCTGGCTAAATCCATAGTTGGTAGGATTTGCCATACATTAATATTTGTGTAGAGGTAAGTTCTTTTTGAAATGACAATGTCTGGATCCCAGAATCATTTCTAGCTGTTATGATTTACTAAATAAACAGCTCAGGTTTTCATGTGGCAGATTGTAATTGGTTATTTTCAAATAAATATTAATCTGTACCAGGTACCTGACATCTCACCTTAATTTGTATGAAGATATTAATTTTTTTCTTTTAGCCATTTTTATTTTCAGACAACCCACATTTATTTATGTACCAGATCTCTAAATATCTAGCAATAAGAGTAAGGGGTAGTAGGAGGCATCCCTTCCTCCTTACTTTCTCTCTCTCTCCCTGCCCCCTCCCCCTCTCTTAGTACTGGTGATGGAACCCAGAGCAGCTCTCCCAAGTTCTTTCTCTCTTTTTTTTTTTTTTTTTTTTGGAGACAGGTCCTCACTAAATTGCCTAGGCTGGCCCCAAACTTGCTATCCTTCTGCCTCAACCTCCTGCATTGCTGGGATTACAGGGATGTGCCACCATGACCAGCCTCTCCTTACTTTTTTAAAATTATTATTGTAATTGACAAAATTATGGGATACAGTATGATAATTAGATCTATGTGTTTCGAGTATAATGATCAAATCATTAACATTTCATTTCCTTAAGCATTTCTTTTTCAAATTTTTGATTAACACATACTACTAGTATATATTTATAGGGTGCAGTACAGTATTCCAATACATGTGTATTACATATATTGATTAAATCAGGATGGTTAATGTTTCTGTCTCCTTGTCGGTCCTTTGTGTTTCGAGCTTTCAAGCTCTTCTAGTATTATTGCTTATTGTGAATCTTAGCCACTCTACTGTTCTGTATAACACTAGACTTTAATACTTCTCTTTACTTGTGTTTGGGTAACTTGATCCAGTATCCCTCTATCTGCTGCCTCCATACTATCACAACTTTCCTAATTTCTAGTCATTACTATTATATATATCCCAGTCGAATTTTTTTGTAGGTAGTAGATTCTTGAAAAGTAACTTTCAGGTCATTGTTCTGTAATTTTGTTTCAAGACTTTTCTCCATTAAAGTCCACAATCACTTGTCTCAAATCTGTGCTTTGAGAGTGTGTTGGATAGTTGGCCTGAGGTTTATTTGGTCTAGAATTTTAGGCACACAGTATTTTCATAGTTACTTTGAATGTGACCTCCCTACTGCCTGAGAACTAATGACAGTCCCCATCATCTCTTCACTTATATAGCTGAAACTGTAAAAAATTTTAAATACAGTAAGTATATTGATACATCTATTATAGGCTAATTAGACAAAGAATACAATTGTATCATAGCAGTTTTCTTTTTTCAGAAGACTCACTGTAATAACTTATAAGTTAATTTATGAATCAGAATGAAGTAAAGTTGGCTTGCATTCAACATTACTTGAAGTTACCTGGAACTGACTATAAGTAACCTAAGTCTGAGTTAACAAGCATCCTTTTCTGTATTTCTTTTAGTCTCCTCGAGTGAAAGAATCATTAACAAATTCTGAGGTAAGTAATTGCAATTATTAAATCCTTGTTGTTTTATATATGCTTCTGTTTTGTTGTAGTTTTAATTTTAAAAGTCTTTATATGTGTGCCTAAATGGAAATGAGCCTTTATACCAGTTACATTTTTTTTTTTTTTAATTATTATTATTATTTTTTTTATTGCTGGCTGTTCAAAACATTACATAGTTCTTGATATATCATATTTCACAATTTGATTCAAGTGGGTTATGAGCTCCCATTTTTACCCCATATACAGATTGCAGAATCACATCAGTTACACATCCATTGATTTACATATTGCCATACTAGTGTCTGTTGTATTCTGCTGCCTTTCCTATCCTCTACTATCCCCCCTCCCCTCCCCTCCCCTCCCCTCTTCTCTCTCTACCCCTTCTACTGTCATTCATTTCTCCCCCTTGTATTATTTTCCCCTTTCCCCTCACTTCCTCTTGTATGAAATTTTGTATAACCCTGAGGGTCTCCTTCCATTTCCATGCAATTTCCCTTCTCTCTCCCTTTCCCTCCCACCTCTCATCCCAGTTTAATGTTAATCTTCTTCTCCTGCTCTTCGTCCCTACTCTGTTCTTAGTTACTCTCCTTATATCAAAGAAGACATTTGGCATTTGTTTTTTAGGGATTGGCTAGCTTCACTTAGCATAATCTGCTCTAATGGCATCCATTTCCCTGTAAATTCTATGATTTTGTCATTTTTTAATGCAGAGTAATACTCCATTGTGTATAAATGCCACATTTTTTTTATCCATTCATCCATTGAAGGGCATCTAGGTTGGTTCCACAGTCTACCTATTGTGAATTGTGCTGCTATGAACATCGATGTAGCAGTGTCCCTGTAGCATGCTCTTTTTAGGTCTTTAGGGAATAGACCGAGAAGGGGAATAGCTGGGTCAAATGGTGGCTCCATTCCCAGCTTTCCAAGAAATCTCCATACTGCTTTCCAAATTGGCTGCACCAATTTGCAGTCCCACCAGCAATGTACAAGTGTACCCTTTTCCCCACATCCTCGCCAGCACTTGTTGTTGTTTGACTTCATAATGGCTGCCAATCTAACTGGAGTGAGATGGTATCTTAGGGTGGTTTTGATTTGCATTTCTCTGACTGCTAGAGATGGTGAGCATTTTTTCATGTACTTGTTGATTGATTGTATGTCCTCCTCTGAGAAGTGTCTGTTCAGGTCCTTGGCCCATTTGTTGATTGGGTTGTTTGTTCTCTTATTGTCTAATTTTTTGAGTTCTTTGTATACTCTGGATATTAGGGCTCTATCTGAAGTGTGAGGAGTAAAGATTTGTTCCCAGGATGTAGGCTCTCTATTTACCTCTCTTATTGTTTCTTTTGCTGAGAAAAAACTTTTTAGTTTGAGTAAGTCCCATTTGTTGATTCTAGTTATTAACTTTTGTGCTATGGGTGTCCTATTGAGGAATTTGGAGCCCGACCCCACAGTATGTAGATCGTAGCCAACTTTATCTTCTATCAGACGGTGTGTCTCTGATTTGATATCAAGCTCCTTGATCCATTTTGAATTAACTTTTGTGCATGGCGAGAGAAAGGGATTCAGTTTCATTTTGTTGCATATGGATTTCCAGTTTTCCCAGCACCATTTGTTGAAGATGCTATCCTTCCTCCATTGCATGCTTTTAGCCCCTTTATCAAATATAAGGTAGTTGTAGTTTTGTGGATTGGTTTCTGTGTCCTCTATTCTGTACCATTGGTCCACCCGCCTGTTTTGGTACCAGTACCATGCTGTTTTTGTTACTATTGCTCTGTAGTATAGTTTGAAGTCTGGTATCGCTATACCGCCTGATTCACACTTCCTGCTTAGCATTGTTTTTGCTATTCTGGGTCTTTTGTTTTTCCATATGAATTTCATGATTGCTTTCTCTATTTCTACAAGAAATGCCGTTGGGATTTTGATTGGCATTGCATTAAACCTATAGAGAACTTTTGGTAATATCGCCATTTTGATGATGTTAGTTCTGCCTATCCATGAACAGGGTATATTTTTCCATCTTCTAAGATCTTCTTCTATTTCTCTCTTTAGGGTTCTGTAGTTTTCATTGTATAAGTCTTTCACCTCTTTTGTTAGGTTGATTCCCAAGTATTTTATTTTTTTTGAAGATATTGTGAATGGAGTGGTTGTCCTCATTTCCATTTCAGAGGATTTGTTGCTGATATACAGGAATGCCTTTGATTTATGCGTGTTGATTTTATATCCTGCCACTTTGCTGAATTCATTTATTAGCTCTAATAGTTTCTTTGTAGACCCTTTTGGGTCTGCTAGGTATAGAATCATGTCATCTGCAAATAGTGATAATTTAAGTTCTTCTTTTCCTATTTTGATGCCTTTAATTTCTTTCGTCTGTCTAATTGCTCTGGCCAGTGTTTCGAGAACTATGTTGAACAGAAGTGGTGAGAGAGGGCATCCCTGTCTTGTTCCAGATTTTAGAGGGAATGCCTTCAATTTTTCTCCATTCAGAATGATGCTAGCCTGAGGCTTAGCATAGATTGCTTTTACAATATTGAGGAATGTTCCTGTTATCCCTAGTTTTTCTAGAGTTTTGAACATAAAGGGATGCTGTACTTTGTCGAATGCTTTTTCCGCATCTATCGAGATGATCATATGATTCTTATTTTTAAGTCTATTGATGTGGTGAATAACATTTATTGATTTCCGTATATTGAACCAGCCTTGCATCCCAGGGATGAATCCTACTTGATCATGGTGCACAATTTTTTTGATAAGTTTTTGTATCCGAGTGGCCAGAATTTTATTGAGGATTTTTGCATCTAGGTTCATTAGAGATATTGGTCTGTAGTTTTCTTTCTTTGAAGTGTCTTTGTCTGGTTTAGGTATCAGGGTGATGTTGGCCTCGTAGAATGAATTTGGAAGTTCTCCCTCTTTTTCTATTTCCCGAAGTAGCTTGAAAAGTATTGGTATTAGTTCCTCTTTAAAGGTTTTGTAAAACTCTGCTGTATACCCATCCGGTCCTGGGCTTTTCTTAGTTGGTAGTCTTTTGATGGTTTCTTCTATTTCCTCAATTGATATTGGTCTGTTTAGGTTGTCTATATCCTCCTGACTCAATCTGGGCAGATCATATGACTTAAGAAATTTATCTATGCCTTCACTATCTTCTAATTTATTGGAGTATAAGGATTCAAAATAATTTTTGATTATCTTCTGTATTTCTGAAGTGTCTGTTGTGATATTGCCTCTTTCATCCCGTATGTTAGTAATTTGAGTTCTCTCTCTTCTTCTCTTCGCTAGCATGGCTAAGGGTCTGTCGATTTTGTTTATTTTTTCAAAGAACCAACTTTTAGTTTTGTCAATTTTTTCAATTGTTTCTTTTGTTTCGATTTCATTAATTTCAGCTCTGATTTTAATTATTTCTTGCCTTCTACTTCTTTTGCTGTTGTTTTGCTCTTCTTTTTCTAGGATTTTGAGATGAAGTATGAGATCATTTATTTGTTGGTTTTTTCTTTTTTTAAGGAATGAACTCCAAGCAATGAATTTTCCTCTTAGAACTGCTTTCAATGTGTCCCGTAGATTCCGATATGTTGTGTCTGTGTTTTCATTAATCTCTAAGAATTTTTTAATTTCTTCCTTGATATCTTCTATAACCCATTGATCGTTCAGTAACCTATTGTTCATTCTCCAAGTGATGTATTCTTTTCCCTTCCTTCTTTTATCATTGATTTTCAGTTCCATTCCATTATGATCAGATAGGATGCATGGTATTATCTCTACTCCTTTATATTGTCTAAGAGTTTCCCTGTGACATAATATATGATCTATTTTTGAGAAGGATCCATGTGCTGCTGAGAAAAAAGTGTAACTGCTTGATGTTGGGTGGTATATTCTATATATGTCAATTAAGTCTAGGTTATTAATTGTGTTATTGAGTTCTATAGTTTCCTTATTCAACTTTTGTTTGGAAGATCTGTCCAGTGGTGATAGAGGTGTGTTGAAGTCTCCCATGATTATTGTATGGTGGTCTATTAGACTCTTGAACTTGAGAAGAGTTTGTTTGATGAACATAGCTGCACCATTGTTTGGGGCATATATATTTATGATTGTTATGTCTTGTTGGTGTATGGTTCCCTTGAGCAGTATGTAGTGTCCCTCTTTATCCCTTTTGATTAACTTTGGCTTGAAATCTATTTTATTTGATATGAGTATGGATACTCCTGCTTGTTTCCGAAGTCCATATGAGTGATATGATTTTTCCCAACCTTTCACCTTCAGCCTATGTATGTCTTTTCCTATCAAATGCGTCTCCTGTAGGCAGCATATTGTTGGGTCTTGTTTTGTGATCCATTCTACTAGCCTGTGTCTCTTGATTGGTGAGTTTAAGCCATTAACATTTAGGGTTATTATTGAGATATGGGTTGTTCTTCCAGCCATATTTGTTTATTTCTGTTACTAAACATGGTTTGTTTTCCTCTTTGATTATTTTCCCCCCTTTAGTGTCCTACCTCCCACTGTTGGTTTTCATTGTTATTTTCCATTTCCTCTTCCTGTAATGTTTTGCCAAGGATGTTTTGAAGAGATGGTTTACCAGTTACATTTTAAAAGTTGGTTTAAGAGCCTGGAATGTTGGTCCTTGCTTGCTTAACTTCGTGATTTGCTTTTTTGGTTTGTGCTGCTTGAAGTGGGAAGCAATATTTATGCATTACTCTGCCCAGGAATTTGTTATACATTTTTGAAATTTTTTTCAGCTTTTTCTCTTTTCAGGTAAATTGTATTTTCTGTAGTTTGTTTCAGTGTGATAGGAAATATTACTAAACAGAATCCAGTTAGGTTGGCTTTCCTTCTTTTCACTACCTGAGAAAAATAATTTCATGGATCCATTCTGTACATATTCTTCCTCTGGCAGCATCTTCCATTCTGAGCTCAGTATTTGGTTTAAAGGCAAGCGTATCTCTTAAACAATTTTCCCACTTCATTTATGTACATACCACGAAATTTGTATGTATAATTATATACATGATTCATGTACATAGAACTTTATAGTTTAGAAATGAGCCAGTGCAGTGGCACATACCTTTACTCCCAGCTACTTGGGAGGCTGCGGCAGAAGCATAACCAGTTAAAAGCCAACCTCTTTGAGTGCCGGGAATGTAGCTCAGTGGTAAAGCACCCTGGATTCAAGCCCTAGTACAAAGAAAATAAATTCTGTACCTTAATATATGTATTTTGGTTATACTTCAGTTTTTTATTAGAGCATTATAGTTGGGCTCATCTTGACAAATTTGTATATGCATGATCTTCCTACTGATCTTCTTTCGCTCATCTATTTTTGATCGGTTCTTTGTACTTATATATAAAAGTGAAATTCCCTGTACTGTATGTGTATATGCACATAGTTCAATTTAAAAAAAAAAAACATTCTGCATTTCCTCTCCTTTCCCATCCCTCCTCTCTGCCACTTGATCTTGTTCTTTTGCTCTACTGATCTTCCCTGTGACTTTATGAAATCCTGTCCTCTCCTCCTTCTTTCCATTATTTTGCTCTAGCTTGCACATGGGAGAGAAAACATTTGACCCTGATTTTCTGAGACTGTCTTATTTGACTTAGCATAATGTTCTCCATTTCCATCCAGTTATCAGCAAATAATAATTTCATTCTTTTTATGACTCAGTAAAACTACATTGTGTTTGTGTGTGTGTGTGTGTGTGTATACACGTATACACCACATTTCCTTCCTTCGTCTATTGATAGGCATCTGGGTTAATTACATAATTTGGCTATTGTGAATTGTGCTGCTATATTGCTATTGCATGCTGATTTTAGTTCTTTTGGACAAATGTCAAGGAATGGAATAGCTAGGTCATTATGGTGGTTTCATTCCTGGTTTTTTGAGGAATCTCCATACTGCTTTATAGAGTGCAGTAGTATGCAGTTCCATCAGCAGTGTATAAGTCTGTACCTCAGGTACATTAGTAGAATTGTATGTCCTTGACCCTTGAAATTATGCATGGTCATGTCAGTTCTTTTGACCAATGTAAAGTTAGCAGAAGAGTCACTCTGTGATTCTGTGTTTCCTTAATCCTGCTGCCATAATCTGCATCCTTGACTGAATGAAGGGATGAACTCATGCTGGTCAGAGATATACTTGAAGTATGTGTAAGAAATAATAAAAAGTAAAGTTAAAAATAACGTTGTTTTAATCTGCTGATGTTTTAGAATTATTTGTTACTTCTAATTATGTCAAACTTGATAATTTCTCAGAAATTGAATGAAAAGTTATTTTATAGATTATTATAGTTTTTCTTTTTAGTGTTCTTCTTGTGCTTTTGCTAAATAACTTCTCTGTGAATTCTCACTCATATTCTTATACTCATTACATTGTTTTTTAACTTAATTATGACAAAATTTATATGACATAAAGTTTACTGTCTTAATCATTTTTAGTTTGGTAGCATTAAATATAGTCATGCTTGGAATACAACCATCACTACCATCTAAAGAACTTTTTAATCTTCCCAAACTAAAATTCTACCCATTGAATAGTAATTCTCCATTTTCTTCCATATTTGTCCTGGCAGCCACCCTTCTACTTCCCGTCTCTGTAAATTTAACTACTCTGGTATTTCATATAAGTGGATTCATACAGTATTTGTCTTTTTCTGACTGGTTTATTTCACTTAGCACAGTGTCCTCTGGGTTCATCCATGTTGTAACTTATGTCAGAATGTCTTTCCATATTAAAGCCAAATATTATATTATAGTGTGTATATACTGTTTTGTTTATTCATCTTTTAGTGAACACTTGAACCTCTCTGTCTTTTGGCTGTTGTGCATAATGGTGCTATGAACATAGGTATACAAATATCTGTTCAAAACTTTGCTTTTAATTCTTTTGGGTATACATCTAGAAATAGAATTGCTGGATCATGAGGTAATTCTATGTTTTAATTTTTTAAGGAACAACCATACTATTTTTCATTAGAACTTCCACCATTTCACATTTCCACTAACAGTGCACTGGGATCCCAGTTTCTGTACATCTTCTTATTGCTTTGTTATATGTATCCTTTTTGTCTTTATTATAGATAAACATACATGTACATACACTTTGGAAGCTAACCTTTTGAAATAGTACATTTTCAAAAGTTATCTTTTTAACTATAATTATCAACATATTAATTTTACAAATTAATGGGCTTCACTGTAATTTTTACATACATGCATAATTGTGCTTTGATCATACCTAACTTCCCTTCTATCGTCCTTGCCTTTCTTTCCACTCTACCTCCCTTGCACCTCTACTTCCCCTTCCCTTCCCTGAAAATCCCCCTTCTACTTTGAGGCCAACTAATATTAATGTGCCATATTTCTGTCAAACTCTGAAACCAATGAAGAACTTTTTACTTCCTCTGATGTATGAGATTAAATGATATAAAATTTTACTTCTGGTCTCGTTTATTTTACTTTCATCAGCTACTAGACCTCTGTTGTTGCCTTTTGAAAGTTTTTACTCTTTCATTTCTAAATTTTGGCCATTGCCATTGGTATTTTTCCCTAACTTGTAATTTTTAATTTTGTTTTTCCCAACATTGCATAATCAAAATTTATGAAATAATTCAAAATGCAAGATAATTTATATTGTGTCTGTTTGTTATAAAGCTTCACACCCATTTTTGAAATATATTTTTAGATATGTTAAGGAATCATTGGTTGATTATCTCTTCATATGTAATAAAAGTCCCCACGTCATAACCCATTTTATTTTGCTGTTATCAAAACACCTAAAGCTGGATAATTTGTAAAGAAAAGAGATTTAATTATCTCATGATTTCAGAGGTTAAAAGTTAAAGATGATGTGGCCCCCTTTGGTGGGCCTCTGGAGAGGGCCTTCTGGCTGCATTGTAGCATGGCAGATGGCATCAATGGTAGAAACATGGAGTATATATGAAAGATCACATGGCAAGAGACCTGGAGGGGTCAGGCTGTCTCTTTTATAACAGCCCACTCTGAAGGAAGCTAACCCACTCCAACAAGACCAGCATAAATCCCTTCACAAGGGCAGACATGATTCAGTTACCTCCCACTAAGCCCCTCCTCCTAAAGGTTCCACCCCTTTTTATACCACTGTATTGGGGAATTCAGGGAATTCAGTTAAATCGAAGCACCATGTGTTAAAAAATGTAGCTTCAATAATTTCTTACAGAAACACTATACATACTTTATAAATACTTTACCTACTTAACTTTTTATTTTGGAGAAGCTGTTTTGGCTGTGTGAAGGGGATGGAGTAAATGTGGTTAAAAATAAATGTGATGCAGGCTGGGATTGTAGCTCAGCAGTGGAGTGCTCGCCTAGCACGTTCGAGGCCCTGGATTTGATCATCAGCACCAAATAAAAATAAATAAATAAAATAAAGGCATTGTGACCAACTACACCTAGAAAATAACTTTTTACTTTATAACTATTTCAAACTATTTTGAAAAAATAAAAAAATAAGTAAATATGATACAAAGTGAAAAAAACTACACAAAACACTTTTTGTTAGATTCTCCATTTACACAAAATGCCCAAAAAAGGCAAATTTACAGAGACTGAAAGTAGATCAGTGGTTGTGTAGGGCTGGATGTGGAAGCAAGAATTTACGAAAAGGGTTTGTGAACCTTTTGGGGTGATAAAGGGTTCCAAAACTGCATTTGGTGATGGTTGTGTAGTTCTTTAAACTGTGCAAATACCCTTGAATTATACACTTAAAATGGATGAAGCTAAAAGCACGTAAATTGTATCGGAAGTCTGTAAAAAACTAAAATGCCTAGAAATATTTGACTTCTGTTTGATATGTATATTTAGAGAAGTGTTGTCAAGCCAGTACATCATAAAAACTGCTTTGAAAATGTCACCCTGTAAGGCTCTGTTTGACTGTCAGTAAGTCTGCTTCTCTTTCCAATCAAGTTAACAGCACTGTATGCATGGTTTCATTATAGCTCTTTTCAACAACTGATCCCATGGGTACTTTGCTCCAAGTTCCAGAACAGATTTCTACTCATCTACCTCAGCCAGCTGGACAGATGTCTACCCAGCCAACTCAAGTCTCTCTCCCACCACCTGCAGAGCCAGCAAAAACAGCTCAGGTAAAGCAGGGATGTCTTCTAATGGCCACCTAGTACTGGTAGATAAGAAAAGCAGATATTTATGTGAAATAGCCTAATGTGCTCAGGTTGTTGTCCTAGTAGATTTTGGAAGAAGTTAGAAATTATGTCTTCATAGTTTTGAATATTCACCTGAAGGTAAGAGAGTTCATAAAGATCTTAAGCAACAATAAGTTAAGTTTGAAAACTTTTGAAACATCAGAATTCTTTGGCTAATTTCTTATTGGCTGTGTGTTAGATCATTATTAACTTAAGATTGCAAATGATGGCATTCATGGTGGGGCTAGGAGAATCATCTGCTTTACTGTTTTCTTTTGCTCATTTTTGCTTGTATCATTTATTAGTATTTTTACAGCCTGTGGTTTTTCTAAATTACTCTTTTAAAAATACTAATTTTGTGAGAGTTGATTTTATTAAAACTAAGTGATGTCTAAACTCAAATAAAGTACACACAAACTTCATTAAATTGTATTTATCTGAAAGCAGCTGAATGAGGTCCTCCCTGTGAATCCCCAGTATGCTGTGTAACTCCCATGCTCCCTTCAGGAAACTTCTGATAGTACATATGTGACCTTATGCTATATTGCTAAAGTAAGGGTTTTGTGTCGATTTATTAGTTGTTAGAAGTTGTCCCCCACCCCCAATAGTTTAAGTGAAAAAAAAAATGAAAGTTGTGATTTTTCCTTTTGTAGCGCCATGTATCATGTGTTCTGGCTTTGAAGACCAGTGCACTGGGCATGTCTAGTTAATCATGGAGATAACTTCTTTTAACCTTTCATCCTTCCAGCTTTCCATTTCTGCCATCATAGGGGCAAAAAGTTCTAATGATTAGAATTATTTTACAAGTAACTTAGAGTTTATGTCTGCCATTAAACAGGAGATACCTAGACAGTTTTCAGAGAGATTAGTTTAACTATAGAAAGACCTGGAACCTTCGGTTGAAGGATCCCTGAGGGGCAGCTGATTTAGGCCCTACTTATGTGTTGCCAAATGGTACAGGCGCAGATTTTTTAAAAAGTGATAAACCTAATTTTTCACCTTTGTATAGGGGAACAGGGGCAAGAAAAATATAAAATATATGGAATTTCATCTGGGTTTGAAAATTATTTAATTATGTTTATACAAGTTGATATTTAGCTTTTGTTGCTGCTGTGGAGTGCCTGTCCTGCCACAGCAGGGAATGAATGTCTTAGGGAGCAGGATGACCTCAGCTGGAGAGGAAGAGAATTGCTGCCAGTGGATGATTCCTCTGCAGTTACCTTCATGCTTAACATTCACAGGCAATGACTTTATACTTTTCAATGCATTTTAGGCTTTGTCTTCAGGAGCAGGTTCACAAGAAACCAAGGTCCCAATCAGTCTAGTACTAAGATTAAGGTAAGAGGACATTTTCTGTTTTGTGAGTTCCCTGTAGGTGTTGAATAATCTGTGCTGAGAATAGCTAAAGCCATGATTGTGTCCCCCCAGCATCAGTAGGTGTTAATTTGCTGGTGTATTATTTTCTTAGAAGTAATAGCAAAGTGTGAGGGCCTGGCAGTTAGCAGTTGCTGTGACTAACTGATGCACATACCCTCCTAGTTTGTCCATTAATAGTGACAAATGTGTACATTTGCAGCATAGTTTGAATTAGAAAGTATAGTCTGTAGTTGAGAATGTTTTAGGGGAGCAGCACTCACTGGCTTATCTGAAGTTTAGTGATTATATAAGCATTATGGACTCTGGGATTGACTAACTCAGAAGGGGAGTGCTTTGTGATTGGTAGATCAAATAAAGATGAAAAGGAAAACCTCTAAGTATATTCCTAGTTTGTTTCTCTGTTATATGGCAAATGTTGGTAGTTCTGGTGGGGATGTACAGAGTGGTCCTAGCAGACTGCTCAGCAGTAAGTGCCCTGGGTAGCAATCTGTTCATTTTAAACACCCCTCAACCCCTAACCCCTCAATTTCTGCCAGGGGATTAAGAACTCTGGATTAGGATTCCAAAGTTTTCATGTCAAAATAGCTATTAGTGTTATATTGTTCCAGTTAGGTCTCTTTCTACTCATAAATATATTTGAAAAAATTAGTATTGAAAAAATGTCATGTGAGACAGCCCAAACCCTCTTTAACTATTAATAACATTTTAAAAAAGAGTCCCACTGATTTACTATTGACTAACCCCACTTCTGCATCTGAATTCTTAGTTGTCTTCCCAATAGGATCATAATAGAGATAGAAGCAGATAGAATTCTTTAGAGAACTTTTAATGACTAATGTTCCAGACTGTTTTGGGAAGTTAAATATCATGTTGTTTGTGCTTACCGTGCCAGTTAAATCAGTAAACTGGTGCTGAACATTTCTATCTTAATTTATTCAGCTGCCAGAAAGAATAGACTAAGAAATTATGTATTAAGAACAGAGTGTGTTGGGCCCTGTTGGCACACACCCGCAATCCCAGCAGCTTGGGGGGCTGCAGCAAGAAGAGCCTCGCATTTGGTGAAGGCCTTGGTGCTATTTCATCCCATGGTGGAAGAATAAGATAGCAAGTGGCAGCCAAACTCACTTTTATGACAGATTCACTCATGATAATGAACCCACTCCTGCTTTAACAACATTAATCAATCTTCTGAGGGCAGTGATTCAGGAGGCCGAGGCAAGAGGATCACAAGTTCAAGGCCAGTCTTATCAACTTATCGAGGCCCTAAACAACTGAGTGAGACCATGTCTTAAAACCCCAATACCAAGAACAGAAAAAGAAAAAGGGAAAACAAAACCCAGTGCATTGGTAATTAAGTTTTCAGCATGTGAACTTTGTGGGACTTATTCAAACCATAACATCATCTTAGAAGAAATACGGTAGGAGTGGACATATAAGAATCTCCCCCAAAGTATGAGATTTTTATGTTCTTCAATGGGAGACGTAAATTCAAAGGCTTAGGACAATTAGAGTATAATTCTGAATTGTTGGCTCTGAGCCCTGAAGTGTCAGCACACCAGGACAAATCATATAACTTGTGGGAACAGACTAATCTTTCTAAGGCACAGCTTTCCTGATATATATTGGAAGACTCTTATGCATAAATTCACAAATTCTTATTTTATTTAAATCTGTTTTTTTCCCCACAGGAATTCCAAAAAAGAACTAAATGATATTAGATTTGAATTTACTCCTGGGAGAGGTGAGGCATCAAAACCATTAAAAACAGATTAACTTCTAATGTGTTGTTTCATCAAGTGTGAAATTTCTGTCTTTTAGATATATTTTGCTTTTTTAAGACGATAAAAATTTCTTGGTTTAGGTTTTGGGGGTCAAATGAATAGAATGAAATAAAATGTAGTTTACTTTTACTACTAAACTCATTTAGAAAATCTAATGTAATAATACAAATAGTAAATGACTGTAGCTCTTATTTACTGCTTACAATGGACCAAGTATTTTGCTATACATTACATTAGCTCATTAAATTCTTACAACAGCCTTCTAATGAAAAATTATTATCCCCATTTACTAGATGATGATGTCAAGGATTAGAGAGAGGCAGGGTAACTTGTTCAAGGTCACACAGCTGCAGAGAGGTAGCTAAAGTTCAAACAAGATCTGAGTTCATAGTTCATGTTCTTATCTCACTGTACATGCTCATTCTTTGTGGTAGTAAAGAAGAAGCCACCTCCATTTTCCCTTCTCCTCAGGCAGAACTGAACCTTGGCATGTACTGTTTCTGATTGTGAACTTCACCCTAGAGCAAGGGTTGGTTGGTTGGTTTTGTTTTGCTTTGCTGTTGTTATTCAGTGTTCTGATTTGAGGAGTGGCCAGAAGCTAGCAGTTACCTTTCCTTACATCCCATAGTTGCTGTCTCAGTATTAACATCTGGCCATTAAAGAGAACAGATGTAAATGTACTAAGGTGTATCTGTATTTTTTAGAGCAATGCAAAACTCATTCACATTTTCAGGAATTAATTGAAACTTCTGGTCATCATGTAAAAGTATATGCACCCCTTCCCATTGGCTCTCCTACTCCCACTCAGGGCTTAGTGTCCAGCCCTCAGGAACCAGCACCACTGAGTCAGTTGAAAATGAGATAAATTGGGGTAGTCCATCTTCTTCTTTTTTACTTTCTCTTTATACCCATTGCTCAGATTATACCACCTGGGACGACTAAGTAAGGAGAAAATCCACAAGATAATAAGAAAATGATTTTAACAAAAACTTAAAACATAATACCAAAAGAGAAGAGATTATAATTTGTTCTCTCAGGTTTTGAGAAAGTTTTACTAGCACTTGAGATGTTCCACATTCAACATCATATCTCAGAGCCTGGGTCTAGGATTGTGCTCTGTAGAGTCACTATTGAAGGTTCTTCTGGCATGGGCCTTAACCCTCTACATTCCACCATTTTAAAAGTTATCTGTACAATGAGCTGATACTTGACACCTGGTTCATACCAATTCTGCCTTCTAGCCAGACCTAAGAGAATTTCTCAGTTGAGATCATTGCCAGTGGAACAGGACCCTGGTTTTGTGAACTTAGTAGTTCATTTGGGTCCAAGCAATACTGTCACACATGCTGGCTTTGAGTGTTAGCAATGATGTATGTGCACAAGAAATGGAATGCCTTCTTGTTTGTCCTTTCAGATACAGCAGAGGGTGTCTCTCAGGAACTCATTTCTGCTGGCCTGGTCGACGGAAGGGATTTAGTAATAGGTAACTATACTGTGCTGTGCCTTGTGCCCCATGTCTCTGTCTGTATATTTAGTGCCTAGAAAATCAGGGTTGTGTTCCACTGAATAGGTCTGATGATTCTTGAAATGATTCTTGCCTTGGCTGAAACTATAGGTACTGAGGACATTTCCCTTACCAAACAGAAATATCCCACTTTCAAGTTTGCTTTGTGACTTCCAGTGGTAGTAGATGAAAACACACCCAGGTCTCTGGGATACTTTGGTAAAAGTGGTAGTAAAAGTCACAAAATGGGAGCTTGGTCATTTTTCATCTGTTTTGGTGTATCTAGTCTGTGGAGCACAGAGGTGAGCAAATATTAGCGATTTAGAAAAGCAAGAAGGAAGGGAAAAGGCACAAGCACAAGCTATAGGTACATTACTGATGGGAAAGACCATCAGGTTGAGAAGGTGAATAGTTTCCCTTCAAAAAGCCAGACAATGGATCATTTAAGCTTTGTGGGCCACATGTCATCTGTCATTTTAAATCATTCTTAGTTTGCAGGCAGAACAAAACCAGACCATAGGTCATACTTTGTTGACTTCCATTCTGGGAATTTCTGGTCCATTAATGGACAAAACATACCTGTCCTTCCCAGGCTAGTTGATAAGTTTTAAATGAAGTTAATTTGCCAGTGATTCAAGATTCATTGTGTAGTTTGGGGTTGAATTTAAAAAATGCTTTCATTTGAGGAATGATTGATCTTTCTACTTCCATTTTGATTGTACAAAGCTTAACCACCATTTAACCTTTTTGATAGTGGATTTATGTAACTTCTTATTGCTTTTCTCTGTTTGTATGATTACAGTGGCAGCTAATTTGCAGAAAATTGTGGAAGAACCTCAGTCAAATCGATCTGTCACTTTCAAGCTGGTATTCATCCCTTTCTCTTTATTAAACCATCTTACCATTTACACATCAACAGCCTCTGCAGACCAGATTTTTATATTCCCTGAATAATGAGAATATTAAAATATGGCAGTGTTCTCTCTTTAACTGTCTCTCCCCCATGTCCTCCCACCCCTGTTTTTTTTTCTGCTTTTCAGAACCCTCTAACCCCAAGCCCTTAACTGTTCTCAAGTGAAATTATAAGCCAGTCTGACTTCAGCTGTATATCCTGTCTTCAGGAAAAAAACACCTTCATCAACCTCCCATTTGTGTCCCAGGGACTCTTTACCCACTGCCTGCCTTCCCATAGTCCCATGTCAATTTTAATTGCTACTGCAGTTTTGTTTATAAATAGCCACAGCTTGTCATTTTGTTTGGTCCTCAGGCATCTGGTGTTGAAGGCTCGGATATTCCTGATGATGGCAAACTAATAGGATTTGCCCAGCTCAGCATCAGCTAAAACACAGCCCCAGAAGAGGCGGCCTAAGGAGATTCCACACAAGCGTTATCTCTGTTGCTTCTGTTGGCCTAAACCCACTACTGCCAAAGAACCCAGCAACGAACCTCCCGGCTAGGAGCTTTAGAATTCTTTCTTTATGTTCTTCCTGCCATCATTCCCCTTTTTCCCACAGGGAAAGTAAAGTTGGATCACCAGTGGCCAGCATCCCCTCAAAGAGTTCCGTTAGTAAATGTGCTGCACATGTCCCCTTTCTTCCGCCATCTGAGAAGTGGCCCGTGTGCCTCAAGGCTCAGGAGGGAGATCGCTCAGCTCATTCTTGCCTTACTCCAGTAATGGCCCAGGTGGAAAGTAGCAGCTACATTGGGCAACCTCTCCTACCTGTTCTCCCACACCTGCCCAGAGGTGGGCATCTTGGGATATCTCTACCACTGAAGTAGCAATTAAAAGTTGATTGTTTAGCTGGAGCCCAGAGAATTTAATTAGTGTTTTTTTCTTTGTATCTGATGTGAATTCTAGCAACCTTTGTTAGGAAAAAGCACAGCCTCGGAGGAGGCAGCCTAAACTGTGTTCCTGTTTTGTTCATGGTGTCTCTAAGTGTTTTGCTAAAGCTGCTCTCAGGCACCCCCTTCATTGCTCCCTCCAGAAAGGGTTGCTAGCCTTAACTTCAGCTGGTGCAAAACATTTGACTGTAGTCAAACTTCAGCCATCAGATCCTTCAAAGTGGAACTTTGGACTGTTTTTGCAGAAAACATCAAGTAATAGCTTGTGAAAGTAAATTTTGCCAGAGGTGGTTTTTGAACAGGAAAAATAATCATAATTCATATCACTAGGGAAGTATTTATTTTCAAATTTTAAGAAATAAAATTAAAGAAAAACTGCTCCTCGATCCTCCAATGAAAATCAGTGCACCTGGCCTCTGAGTCATGAGGAAGTGGGTATAAAAGGCTGAGATTACTACAGCAATAACAGAGACTCACACTGGGCTAGAGGCCTGGCTTCCATCCCTCTCCTGCACTGACTCTGTGGAGGGGGACCCTGTGCGCTGAAACTGACTCAAGATGGAAAGTGAAACCACATGTGCCGTGACCTTTAGGTTTTATGAGTAGACAGTGTTCATTTGATTTTCTATAGAAGTTATATAAATTATTCTTTAGGTTTAAAAAAGAACACTCATAATGCAATATGTGAATAATCAGTGGGTTTGAGTTTTCTTTTTTCCTATTTCATTGTCAGACTTGTCTAATTGCTAATAACCCTGCCAAGTTACCAAGTTTTATGTATGAATGGGATACTCCATCTGGCCTTAAAGAGACATACAACGATGGGCTGTGGCCCCACGGAGAAGGGAGAGTTGACTTTCACAGAATCTCTTGAGCCCTTTCCAATGTTGTTGGTCTGAACAAGATTACCTGGTTTTCTCTTGGAAAACACCTGAAAGTTTTCCCCATAACTGACTTGATGTACCTTTATTTCATTCGTTCTGAATCTGTAGTTTTAGTCATGGGCTTTCTTTACCTGCTCCAGGTGTAAAGGCATGTTGGTAAAGGGGTGGATGTTGGGGAGTGTGAGAGGAGTTGGATTTGGGATGGGGATTGGGAGGAAAGATTAGAAGATTAGATACCAAAGTTCAAGGTCCCAGCATGATTGGTAAAAGAAGGGAGTTTGCTGAATCAGCAGAGAGAAAAGAGATTGACCAGCTTGCTGGAAAAATATTTAGCTTTTCCTTTTCCTTTTTTGGGGGTGGTGGTGGTGGTCATCATGGTAGTGAACGATGGAGAAGCAAGGATAGGGAGTTGGTAATGAGGTGTGGAAAAGATACAATGTCCTCTTTGACAACAGGCTAGTTGCTTGCCATAGAGTCCTTTTTTTATTTCAAACAAGCCCATTATAATTTAATTATTTATGAACCCATGGTGGGGGTGACATCACTGTTTTAGCTTTTCATTTGGAGGTGGTATGGCCCAGGCTGGGAGTGAGTGGCCTTGTTCACTGTCTCTAGCCGACCAGTAGCTTTGAATTTCAGTGGGATTGGCATGACAATAGAAGGTGGGAGCTGGGGCTTATCTTTTTTTGTTGTTCAGTTCATTGGTTGCCTTGCTGGGAAATAGGAGACAAACACCAAGTCCCATGACAGTGTTATTTCTTCTTCTGCATGTTGTGTGGTGAATTCCCTCTGCCAGCTTGTGCAGTGATGCTGAGAAAACAGGTGAACAGAAACTGCCCAGGTGCGATAGCATGTGACCTAGGGAGCCTCCTCACTCCTTTCCAGTAGTAGTGGTTCAGGGTGCATCTCTGTTACTAGGTCCCCAGAATACCCCTGTCCCTGGAGTTAGGGACTAACTATAGCACAAGGTAATATGTGCCAATGCTATTTGTGAAAAGTATCGTCTTTCTAAATTACTAATGGATTTGTTTGGGGTTTTTGCTTAAGTTTTAAACCAAATCTTAGAGCCAGCTGATACTGTTTAATAATCTGGAGGATAGAATAATGGTGTATCAATAAGTGGAGGTTCCTCCTTATGACATATGCTAGATTATGGAAGATGTAAAATATTCAACTTTCTCCCCCTTTTTTTGACTTTGTATTTTACTGCATGTTTTCTTCATTTTTAATCAATAAAGAATAAATTGTCTCTTGTGTTGTATGGATCCTTTACTTCAGTGGCTGTTGGTTGAGAGTTGTGGGGACTAGGTCATGGAGTTATTACTGACTTCAATTTTTCATGTAAAATGAAAGTGCATATAAGCTATAAAATGTATCTATTGACCTATAGGTTATCTAGAATTGCTTAAAACCATTGACAATTGAGGAAACTGAAACCCCAAAAGGAAAGGATGAGGTCTGCCCAAGGAAATCTGAGAAGCTGGGATATGGAACTTCTTGTATTATGTTTTGATCTTTTCTGAGTCACTGGGTTTTTTTGTTCATGCTTCGGGGCAGTGGAAAGATGCCAGGGTCAAGCCCTTGGAAATCCCTTTCAGGAAGTGTTGAGCAGGACTAAACCTGCCCCTGCTCAGCTTTGATACCAAATGGTTGAGTTCCATTTAAGATTCTAGGCTCCTTTGTATTCATGTCCTCTAACAACTAGATCCTGATCGTAATCCTTCCCAAGAGAAGTGGCCAAAATTCATGGTAGGCCTGCTTATGGGTCCCAGTATTTCAGAGCAGAAGGCTATGGATTCTGGCATTAGAGCCCCATATCACCTGCAGCTGATGTGTTTGTTTTCAAGTGAGTTATAAAAGTGAACTCAGTATTGTTCGTTACAATTCATATTATACATATAGAGGTCAATTTTTCCTATCTCTGGTTGTACACACCATTCATGTCTTCATACATGTATTTAGGGTATAAAATCATGGCATTTGCAGGTAAATGGATGGAGTTGGAGAATACAATGCTAAGTGAAGTTAGCCAATCCACAAAAAACCAAATGCCAAATGTTTTCTCTGATATAGGGATGCTGATTTATAATGAGGTTGGAGGTGGGGGGGCGCATGGGAGGATTAGACAAACTCCAGATCAAAGGGGAGGAAGGGGGAAGGGGAGGAGAGGGCATGGGGGTAGGGAAGAGAGTGGATTGAGATGGACATCATTACCCTAATGGGACAGGGAAAAGGTATAAGAAGCTGGGGGAAGAGTAAATTGGACCTCTTCACTTACCCGTTCTTTCAAACAGGCTTAGAGCAGCTTACTAGGTTTTACTTCTTGCATGGTTGCTTAGTGCAACAGTTCAAGGTTCCTCCTTTGGGGGTCAGATCATTTACCCCATTTTCTTTTATGATAGACTATATTTTTTAGAACAGTTTCGGTTTCATAGTAAAATTGAATGGAGTCACACTATTCAGGTCTTCACACATGTACTTAGGGTAACGATGTCCATCTCATTACACCCTCGTCCCTACCCCCATGCTCCCTCCACCCCTTCCCCCTTCTCCCCTTTGCTCTATCTAGAGTTGTCTAATCCTCCCATGCTCCCCCCGCCTCCAACCCCATTATGAATCAGCATCCTTATATCAGAGAAAACATTTGGCATTTGGTTTTTTGGGGATTGGCTAACTTAGCATTATATTCTCCAACTCCATTCATTTACCTGCAAATGTCACGATTTTATACCCTAAGTACATGTATAAAGACATGAATGGTGTGACTCTAATTTGTGTACAACCAAAGATATGAAAAATTGAGCTCTATAATGTATAATATGAATTATAATACATTCTGCTGTCATATATAACAGAATAAAAAAAGGCTTGTGATCTAAACTGATATCTTTGACAGCTGAATTAGAAGTAGAATTGGGAAAAAAATTGAATGGAAAGTATAGAGAGTTTCAAATTACCCTCAGATTTCACATACGAACAGCCTTAGCTGCTATCAACATCCCACACCAGAGTGCTACCTTTGATATTGAGAAACTATATTGACCCATCATTATCACCAAAGGTCAATAGTTTACATTAGGGTTCACTCAATGTAGTTTAGTCTGTGGGTTTTGACAAATATGTAATAACATGTAGCCACCATTATAATACACAGAATGAAGCCTTTTTAGATTGGCTCCTTTTACTTAGTAATATGCATCCAAAGTTCCTCCATGTTTTTTCATAGCTTGCTTATTATTTTTAGCACTGGATTCCATTGTCTGTACCACAATTTATCTACTGAAGGACATCACAATTGCTTTAAGTTTTAGCAATTATAAATAAATCTGAAAATATCCATGTGCAGGTTTTTGTGTAGTCTTCAACTCATTTGGGTAAATTACCAAAGAGAAGGACTATAGGATCATATTATAATGGTATGTTTAATTTTGTAAGAAACCACCAAATTGACTGTAATTTTGTGTTCCCACCAGCAATGAGTGAGAGTTCCTGATGCTCCATAATTCCATAATGCATAATGTTGTTGAGATCTTTTTGTATGCTCATTTTGCTACCTATATATCTTTGAAGTATGTATTCAGTGAGCTTTTCTTAAATTGTACTCTCAGAAAAAAACTAATACAAAAACAGTACAAAGAATATACCTATACCCATCCTCCAGCTTCTCCAAATGTAAACATCTTATATAACAACACACAGTTTTCAAAGTCAGGACATTTACACTGATATGATACCATCTGACTAATCTACAGACCCAATGCTAATTTTCAGTTGCTCCACTACTGCTCTTTTTTCTGGTCCAAGTTTCAGTCCAGGATCCCATATTGTATTTGGCTGTCATAGTTCTTCTGTCTTCCCATCCATGAACATTTATTTAGCTCTTTGGTGTCTTTGATTAGAGTTTTGTATTTTTTAATACAGAACTTTTACATATTTTGTAGATTTATGCCCATGCATTTCATTTTGTTGGGTGCCAGTGTAAGTGGTTTTGTTAATTTATTTTTGTGGTGCTGGGGAGCAAACCCAGGGCCACATGCATACTGAGCGTGATGTGCTGTACCACTGAGCTTCATCCTTGATGGTATTATGCTTTTAATTTCAAATTGCATTTTCTCTTTGCTGGTATATTGAAGCAATCAACTTTTGTATATTAATCCTGTATTCTGAAACCTTGTTATAGTCTACTCCTTCCAAGAAGTTTTAGTTACCATTATTCTTGTGAGTTTTCTATTATAAACAATAGTGTCCTCTGTAGTCAAGAAAGGTTTTATTTTTCCTTCCCAATCTGCTCTGGTTTGTGTATAATTTGAGTGTCCTCAAAGGTACATAATCAAGAATTGGCCCTTGGGGTGACTGTGCTATAGGACTTTAGGATGGGGCCTCGTGGGAGGTCCTTAGGTTGGGACTTACCCTTTTAGGGAATAAGGGGAACCCATTCTCTCCTTCTCTGCTTCCTCACTTAAGATGGGACTACCTGCTCTGCCATACACTATTGTCATTGCTATCTACTTTCCTCACCAGCGTTCCAAAGCAGTGGGGGTACCTGATCTTGAGCCTCCAAAACTTGAGCTAAATAAACTTTTCTTCACAAGTAACCTTTCTCACATATTTTGTTGTAGTAACACAAAGATGACTACAACTTCTATACATTTTGCTGTATTTTATTACTGCATTATGTAGGACTCAAGTACAATGTGGAAAAGGAGTGGTGAGAGTGGACCTTCTTGTGTTATTCCTGATCTTAGAGGAAAGACTTCTAGTTTTTCACCATTAAGTATGATGTTAACCGAAGGGTTTTGTTCTTCACCAAATTGACAAAGTTCTCCTCTGTTCCTGGTTTGCCAAATTTTTTATCATGAGTGCATGTTAGATTTTGTCAAATGATTTTTCTCCATCTATTGACATGATCATATGGTTTTCCTTCTTAAGCCTGTTAGTGGGATGGATCACATTGATTTTCAAGTGTATATACCTGTAAGTCCCACTTGATTGTGATGTATAGTTTTTTCTATACATTATTGGACTTAATTTGCCAGTATTTCATTGAGGATTTTCCCTTCACGTTCACGAGAGAGACTGCTCCATATAGTTTTCATCTGATGTCTTTGGTATTGGTATTATGGTAATGCTGGCCACATAGAATGTATTAAGAAGTACTTCCTCTGCTTCTATCTACTGGAAGAAATTGTAGAGAACTACTATGATTTCTTTCAGTGTTTGGTGGAATTCACTAGTGGAACCATCTGGGCCTGGTGCTTTCTGTTTTGGATGTTATTACTGATTTAATTTCTTTAATAGAAATGGAAATAGAAATAGACATGGGCTTATTCTAATTTTCTATTATTTTGAATATTATTAAGAGACAGGATTTCAAATGTTGCCCATGCTGACCCTGAACTCCTGGACTCAAGCAATCCTCCTACCTCAACCTTCTAAGTATTCATGTTTGTGGGATCTATAGTGATGTCCACTTTCTTATTTCTGATGTTAGCAATTTCTGACTTTTTTTTTCTCAATTAGTCTGTAGATGCTTACCAATTTGTTGATCTTTCCAAAGAACCAGCTTTTGATCTCTGATTTTCCTGTTTTCAATTTCATTGATTTATTTTTTATTATTTCATTTTTTCTGTTTACTTTAGATATAATTTGCTCTTCCTTTTCTAGTTTCCTAAGGTTGGGAGTTTAGATGGTTGATTAATTTAGGTCTGTTTTTTTTTTTTTTTTTTAAACACACACGTGTATTCAGTGCTATATTTCTCTGTAAGCACTATTTTCTCTGTATCCCAAGAATTTAGATGTGTTCTTTTTTAATTTTTTTTGCTTGTCCATGGACCTTTATTTTATTTATTTATTTATATGTGGTGCTGAAAATTGAACCCAGTGCCTCACACATGCTAGGCAAGCACTCTACCACTGAACCACAACACCAGCCCTTGATGTTTTTAATTTTGTTCAAAATATTATAAAAAATTTCTCTTTTGAGTTTTTTGTTTTTTTTTTTAAATTTTACCCATGTGTTACTTGTGTTACTTAGAAGGGTGTGTTTGTATTATGGTATTTTCCAGCTATCTTCCTATTTTGATTTCTAGTTTAATTCCATTGTGATCTGAGAACAGCAATTTGTATGATTTTTAATCTTTTCTATTTGTTCAGATATGTTATATGGCCCATATGTGGCCCAAATTTGGGGAATGTTGCATGTGAGCTAAAGAAGTATATGTACTTTATAATTGTTGATTGAAATAATCT